CACCAAACTTTGACTACTTCTGGATGTTTTGGTGGCTCTTGCAATGCTTCTGGTTGATCTTCACTCCAAAATTGTCAATTCTGCTTATTATTGCACCCATTAAGCCAAAAATGAGCTTCGAAGCGCGCGCATTTCTATAATAAAATTCAATAATTTGCAAGCGTTGTTCGTTTGTAAGACGATTCATGGTTGAATTATGGACCAAACTGATGATGTTTGACACTGATACAAAACACGAAACGTGCGTCAGCTGTCACCGCACAACTCATAATTCCATCGTCTACAGTATCCATCCCATGCGCAAAGGACCATAAATCATTCGCAAAAATTTCCTCTTGGAGACTCCCAAGACTGACTCACCGGATATCGATATCCAGGCTTCTTCACCATATATTAAAATTGTAATGATGAGTGACTTGTAGAATTTGGTTTTTGTTCGCCTTGAGAAGATTTTCTTCTACTCGGTCCAAAATAATACCCGCTGGCAAGAGTAATTTGTGTTGGGTTTCAGGGCTGACATTGTTATTGGTGGTTTGTTTTCATCCCTAAAAACCATAAGCGACTTGATTCTAGCAAAACGGCCAGGCTCGGATATTTTTTGTTTGGTCTTATTTTACGAAAATTTTTGAGGGGGTTAGATGCGTCGGTCTCAGAAGGCATGTAAAGAGGTGTTTATTGTCGTGCGAAGACTCTCTACATGCAGGACATACGTTGAGTATGTTAGAGTTGAGTTTGGCTACAGTATCCAGACCTAAGTTGTGCTATTATTACGCGGGTATTTCGAGGCAGCTAGAGCTCTTCGTCCGCTATGGGTAGTGGTTGAGCGCTGGGAACGCCAAACACAGGAAGGGAATCTTTGAAGTTGTTAACTGACTCATGGTGAATGTACGCCGCCCCGACCAGTGTTCTACCGTTTAACGCTTTGAAGATCTTATTGCGGATCTAGAGTTCTGTGGCAATTGCAGAATTACAGCCGTACGTGGACTAAAGGACTGTAGGCTGTCGAATGTTGCCTCTAATGAGCACAAATTGTGCTAATATTCTAGAATAAATATTTAACACGCAATATACATATATATTCATATATAGGTATCTAAATACATTTGTACATATGTAGGAGGTGTGTTCCAAAAATATCCCGAATTTTGTGTTTTTTTCAAAAATTATTTATTTATTCATTAATATCTATTTTGTCCCCTTCAAAGTAATCCCCATGAGATATTATACACTTCGAAGCACTTTAAAATATATTTTTTTTATCTTGTTCAGCTCCTCCTTCGATGCCGTCTTTATCCCGTCCATCGTAGCGTAACGTCGCCTTTTCATGGGCCTCTTCAGTTTAGGGAACAAGAAAAAGTCACAGGGGGCCAGATCTGGGGAATACGGTGGCTGCAGCATCATTAGTGTATTGTTTTTGGCCAGAAAGTCGCGCACAAGCAACGATGTGTGAGCAGGACCGTTATCGTGGTGCAAAAGCCAATTTTTGTTCTTCCACAAATCCGGGCGTTTCTGGCGGATTGCAAATTGCGCATAACGGGCAGGTAATATTCCTTATTGACCGTTCTACCCTGTGGCAAGAACTCATGATGCACCACGCCCCTGCTATTAATTTTTTCGTCTGTTGTTGAAGTGCTCGGGCGTCCGGCACGCTCTTCGTCGTTCACATTTTCTCGGCCTTCTGAGAACTTTATGTACCACCGATAAACGTTGCTTCGGTCCAAGGTAGCTTCTCCGTATGCCACAGTCAACATTCGGAATGCATTCGCGCACTTAAATTCGGTTTTCACACAAAATTTGATACAGGTTCTTTGATCCATTTTTTTGAATAGGTAAAAATCGAAGACCATCCAAAACACGTGCAAGCAAAGCAGCTGTCAACAATTAAGTGAACATTCAAAATGGCCGAGCTTGTCGGCATAAGTGACAGACATGAGTACCAACATAACGCCACAAAAAAATCGAAATTCGATTAGACGTAACCCGCGAAAATTTAAAATTCGCGATACCTTTTGAACACACCTCATAAATGTATGTAAGCACGAATTTTATTTAAAAAAAAAATAAAACATTATTTTGAATAATTTTTCAGTTTTTATTTCCATCTTTAAATTTATTTATGTTTTTTTTTTAGTTTATTGAAGATTTCACTGAAACATCGATGCCATTTGGGGGTACTAATATAGTATTCAGTACTTGGATAATTTTATTTATACATATACATATCGATTTATTTAATGTATTCATGTGTGTGTTTTAGATATACATATGTATTTGTGTCTGTATGTAGCAATTGATTTAAATGAATTAGTCGTTTTTTTTTTCGATTTTCTTCTCATTACTTTTTTTTTTGTTTGTTTGTTTGTTTAGTTTGTGAAAACGTTGCAGCTACGAATAGTTATTGGTGTAGACAGGTGGTATACTCTCAATGCATGTATAAATGTATGTGCGTAGATAATATGTATTATATGTATGTTGGTGTGTAAGTCGTTTCATAATCTCTGCCCCCTTTGTAGGTGAGTATATGTATGTATGTATTGTATGTAATTATGTATATAAAACTTCATTGTATTACAATTTTTTTAAAACAATTACAATATTTTATTTACTTAATATTTCGTTTATTAGCGCTACTAACTACACACACTTTGACGTTTGCTATTACAATAATATATTAATTATTTATTTATTTATTTATTACAATATATGATATTTATTTATATATATATATTTATATATATGTATGTATATATATCTAGTAATATTTTTAGTTTTTTTTTTTTAATCTGTTTCTTTAAATTCATTTCAATGGCCACGCTCGTGGGGTTTGTGTGTGCGGCAAAGCCACTTTGTGACAAAGTTCTCATTTGGTTTGTTTAACTTTTGCAAAAAGTGCCATCAATTACAATCCAAACATTTGCACGAACGAAACTCTTCATTTCATGCTATTTCTCTTATTTTATTGTAGGTATGCGTACGCTGAAAAGCTGTTGTTTCCGTTAGACGTAGTTTTTTCACACAAAAAAAAAAAGAACAATTGATTTTTACTAATAATTTTTATTTAGTTTATCGCTTTATTCGTGTATTGTTAGCCGACATTTTTTCTTATGAAATTGTTTTCTCCATCATTGCAAGCAAATTGTAAATTAAATTTTTGCAATTTTTCGATTTGAACAAGATACGTAATTTGAAAATAATATTTAAAGTATGAAATTAGAACTGCAATTGTGCTCCAAATCTGGAGTTCATAACATGTTATGCGAAAAGAATTGTGTTCGAATTTGTTCGATCCAGTCTCATAGAAGAGGTTCGCTGACTCTTGCCTTGTCGTCATTCATTCATTTTTTTAAATAATAAAAAAATGGAAATCCCCCCGTCTATAAGTAATCATTTCAGTCGATAATTTGCAATACACATGGCTTCTTATTTACTTAACGGTATATGTATTTACATACTCCCCTTTAGCCAACAGTTAGCTTAGTATAATTCATAGCTGAAGATTGGTGTTTATTTTCGCATAACAATTTTCGGACTTATACGAATTTAGGTGCGGTCTTTGCTTCTTCATACTTAGATACGTTAAAAATGGCAAGTATCGTGTATTAAAAAAATTTCTAACAATTTAAGTAAATGTTTCATACCAAAATATCCTTAAACAATCTATGGATTTGAATTTCGTATTTCTTAATTCGTTTCGTTTGCATGCAAGTAGCAATGAACAGCTGTCACTTCTACAATTTTGACTTTATATAAAACAAAAATATTCAATTCGTACAAAGTTTTTAGTAGAAACTTTTAACAATGAACTTTGTATTTGATTCAAAAAAAAAAAAAAAAAAAAATAGATAAACAAGCTTAGGGTTAAGAAAAATGGCATAATTGATAGCACTGTATGCGAAAATTGAAATATAATAACAGTGGTCATAAGCGAATGCCTTACGCGAGTCACGGCAAATTTTTTTGTTTGCTCTAATCTACAAGATATTCATTTATTTTTTGCTTATTTCTTAGAATTTCAGACTTCCATCAAAAACGAAAGGATTGCTTGGCATTTTTAGTGAAATACATAATATTAAATTTCCCTCTACTGAAAACATTTTAAAACTAGACTCAAAAGATTATGACTGGATGCTACAGATAAAAAAAATTATATAATTTTTATTGAATTCAAATACGCCAAATATTTGAACGCCGAATTATTCATTTTCTCAATGCTAATTATTTGTACATAATTTTAAAAGCCAAATAATGGAGGGTGAATCGACTCAGAGATTAACTTCACGTTTTTTTCTTGCTTTTTTAATTTCGAAGCGCCATTTATAGTGTTCTCTTCGTATAGCTCATATTTTAGTGCTCTCAAATGCATTGAACTGTTTGCTATTCAAAGGAAATATAAGCTCGCCAAAAAAAAAAAAAAATCAAAATTAGATTAACGTCTCGTATGTTTGTGTGCAATTATGACCAAAAATTAATTATTTATTTTACAATTTACAATTTGCGGTTTACATTTAGATTTGAGGAAAGATTTAACTAAAAAATGTGTTTACGTTGTCCTTATTGTGCTTATTTGCTTGTATATATGTATGTGTACGTAAAATGCAATGCTGCTTATATTTGCTTCATTCATTACTTGTTTATAATTTCTTTACTGTTATACTCATAATCCTTCCAGAGGTATACATTTATTTATTTTAATACAATTAAAGCTTATATTGTTGTTGCAGCAGCATAACAACATCAATATATACTATATAATACGTTTTGATTTCAACATAAATAAATACATATATGTATACTTTAAGAGCCATTAAAAAAGCAATAAATGTTTTACAAAGTTGTACGCTTCTTTACTTTATATATGAATATAAAATAACTTTTAAAGTTTATATATAGTATATAGGTATGTATACGCATGCACATTCATATGTAGTACGTACATGGAACATAAAAAATACATAAAATTAGAAAAATTTTATAAAATACACTCAAAATGCATATTTTCATTTTTTTTTTTTGCGCGATAATTAGTATCTCTCTTCCGAATTCTTTCATTCTTCGACAATTATTCCAATTTATCAAAATCTCAGTTCATTACCAGTTCTGTTAATTGACGAAATATGCATGTTAAACATACAATTCGCACAATTATTACTTTCTCAACTTAAATACTAAACATAATTTCTAAAAAGTAGTTATTATGATTTTGCGTTTTCAATATGCTTGCACCATAAATCTAAACACTGCTTTCTTACGTTGAAAACCACTTACAAAACTTACAAAAAAAAGAAAAAAAATAAAAATAAAAAGAAAAATCTTAAATTGGCAATTTATGGGGACACAAATTTAGAAAATACCGACATTCAAAAACTTCCGCTGCTCTAGGTTGTCTATTTACGTATTCAAATGAAATTTACATGATTTATATTATATTTATGGTCAATGTCGAATCAATGGATCGCCACGAAAGTGGTTGCATTGCCTAGGCCTCAGTTTCAGCGCCCTTTAATCGCAGTCGTGCGAAATCTTCAAAGATTATATCATCATCCTGAGAATCGTCTTCGTCCAATTGTATCAAATTGGTAGTTGGCACCTCGGCATGTTGAGTTTCATCGGCACCATTACCGTTAATACCGCCACTTAATAGCTTCAAAGCGCCATCACGTATGCTCTGACGTGGTGATTTATCCATTAACAAAGGATTATCCTCCTCCTCTGGTTTTGGATGCATCAACGTAAATGGCAATTCTGCAACCAAATCACCACCTAATAATGGTCCGCTAATTAATAGTTTAACTTTCACTTTATAATGTACAATAATCCCAAGACTTTCGCGTTGTGCCGGATTCGTTATAAGCGTACTGGACGCCAAGTTTGTATCCTCGTGTTTTAACTGACCATCGAGCGCGAGACCCCACTTGTCCTTGTTGTCGGCAAGCAATGGACACAATTCAAAAACTTTGGACAGTGTAAAACCAGGTAGTACCTGACAACCATCTTCCGATTCAATTTCCGCAACCACCGATTTATATTGCGCCGTTGAAAAAAGGCAAATATCAGCGAATTGACGCACATATACTTTGATCTTCTTAACCGTGCGATTTGAATTGTTCGCTACATGCACATTAATGGATATCTTTTCCCCATGATGGTATAACTCCTTGTCTAAACTGGCTTCTAGGTGGATTTTGTTTGGTTTCATCATGAACTCCTTGCTTACCTCGATCGATGGCTGCTCGCCCACCTTGGACGGTGCATACATAACTTTGCGTATGGTCAAACGGACTGAATTTCGCTTGTGTGGTTTATCCTCGATGTGTTCGCCTACGAAAAAATTTTAAATTATTAATAAATAATAATAATTAATTATATTATTAATAAATACATTGTAAAAGTATAAATCTGAAGGCAGAATTCAAATTATAAATTACATAAATATATTTCAACAAAAATACAACACATATGCATATATTGCATACATAGTTTTTTATATTTATAGACACAAAGCGGTTGTGTAGATTCTGTTAAGAGGGATCCCTGCGATTTAGGAGTTCAAGAATTTACCAGCGATAAGGCATGTCTGTCGTAAAAACGAGTAAAATCCAAAAGCTCCCACGACAGTTGGTTCTTTATACCAGAATGACTCGGATTTTTATACGGCCAAGGACTATCAAGCCCGCAACATACTCCAGAAACTACTTTAAGGATTATTTTCGTGACTACAACAGCAACTACGACATTCACTTAAAAGACGAACCTATATTTTTCAAAAACATATTGATTTTCTTTGGAAAAAGACTAAAGCTCAAATTTTTACTTTTATAAATTTAAATGAAAAATAGGAAAAGTTATGTATGTATGTACATGCATACGCTATGTTTCCATACTATATACTCGTATATATACATTTTTATTAAGTTGCATTTGGCGAATAATAAATTAAACAATAAACATATTCATTAAAATTTTTGTTTGATTTCAGGAAAGAGTAATCCACGCGAAATTCGATAAAAGTAAAGACCTGAGGAAACACATATAAACAAAATTAAATCTGTTTATATTATATATACGACGCAGATCTGGTACGAGCAACATGTGAGAAGAACGCCCTGCAAAAATAGCGAATAGCCAGCCAATGCACGCTGGAAATTCGAAATTCAATTTATTAAGGGTAAAAGAGTATTTCAATTTAAATGAAATATGTGTCTAAATAAGAATTACGATATCTTAAGGCAACGTCATTTATATTTGTACAATATAATAGAGCATGTGTGCAAAGCTTCGTTGAGATATCGGACTTTGCGTCGAGTTATCATATTCACAAATAAACAGAAATGGCTAAATCAATGTTTATCAGGATGTGTTGAAAAAACGATAAGCATAGTATTTCAGCGCAATCAATTAATTACTAATTACATATATGTATGTGAGGTCATAATACCTTGCGCCACTGCATATAAAACTTTATATTATCTACTACATCGTTATATTATCTAACTTAACACTTTCAGATAATAAAATATTAAATATTTTAATTTAATTATCATTTTCAGTTAAAAGAAATATTCTGAGCTTCAATTCATAAAGTCAAAATGAGTTTACATAGTTATTTTTAGTTATAAAGAAGAAAATATACTAATTTGTAGAGCAAATAATTTAAAAACCTGACAAAATATTCAACATATCTACATAAATGCATCCATTTTAGAAAAGGCCTCACTTTTGACTTAGTTGAATTAATTTTGCAAAAATACTATGTATTATATACACATATTGTACATACGTATATATCTTGAATATACAAACATATATATATATATATACTCATTAATGTGCACGTACAAATTCAATGAGGAAAAATCAGCTTAAATACTTGCCGATAGAGTCAAAGCGGCAGGCAAGTATATCGAAAAGCGATAAAGAAAAATAAACAAATAAGTAAAGTTCATAGAAAAAAAATAAAATAAACACTGTTGTATTATATTAAGAACACAACGAGGCATACCACACATGGAAAAGGCAGATATGGTAGCAACAGAAACACATCTACATACGTAAGCAACTCAAAAACACGACAACATTTATTGTATTTGTTATATTACAAACAATCATACATTAAAAGCTTCAAGCGTATGCGATCGACACGATAAGGTTTTGCAAAGAAATCCCAATTACCAAATCGGTAAATGGCAACAGCTAATAATGCGGCGGTATTGAGGCAGGGGTGTCGCCATTAATTGATGAATCATTCATCAGTTTTTTTCGCCATTAGTAAGCTTTCCATTTAATTTTATTTTTTTTTATATTATTGCAACCCATTAATTTTCTGAATATTTAAAGGAAATGTATTTCTATAGTTTGTTTAGTAAATTTAAAATGAGACTCTATATAACAATTAAAATTTAATAACAACAAAAAGTGTATAATAAAAGCTTTTTCTGTGTAAGAAACCACTCTCATCATTGTTTAATACACCCATTTTTTAGTTTAGTTAATTCAGTTTGTTAGTCAATGGAAACAATATTAAAAACGAAATTACTTATATATAACAAATCAGTTATTTACTTATGAGCATTAATGTCTATTATGTTGATGTTTAACTTGTCATAGGATTAATTGACCTACATCCACAACTAAAGCCAGTAAAACTGCGAGGCAATGACGCATCTATACAAAAGGGTGGCCGAATTGAGAAATATTCAACAACATGATTGGAGGCTAAAATTCAAATAGTGACTTTTTAGTAGAAATTAATCATTTCATTCATTGTCATAAAGTAATTGTTGAGTATATTAATTAACCTCACCGTGACTTGTGTTATCTCACGGTAGCCTACATAGTATAAATAATAAAACCTTAATAGACAGAGGTGCACACCATAAATGCGGTTACAACGACAACAACAACAACAACATAAATGAATTTGACTTTGAAAATGACCTGGTACATGTGTCGCTAGACATATTTTTACATTATTTTTAAAACTTTTTTTTTTTTTAGAAAAAATTAAGCCATGTGAAATTTAAATTATTTACTAAAACTTATCAGAGATAATGTTTCTGCGCATCAGCAAGTTGATTTGATAGAAACTTACCAACAAATGCTTTTAATTCGTAGTCCACGCCACATGATTTGCCCGTGTCGCCCGGAGCCGGTTGTAGAGACACTGATGCTGGACAATAAGGAGGAACTTCAAAGTAGAAAGGATACGCATTAGGTCCCAACTTTTTCATTAACCGTTCCTGCAATCTGGTCAAGGGTCGTTCATTCTGCTGTGGCGGATATATTTGCTCGTGCGCCAAATATAAATCTTTGCGAAAAGTTAGACCGAGCACATCTAAATCTTCACGGCCATATCTAAAAGCGGCAAGAACCTGTCCAAACACTTTACGGTCTTTAACATATTCTGGATCTATAAAAACAACACCGTCGATTGGATCGACATGTGTAACATGATCGACGAAATCTCTTTTCCCAAGATATACTGTGATTTTTCCATTAGACGAAGTTTTTTTAAATACTCTGGTAGCCTGTCGCCTAGAGCTCGCATCAGCATCACCCCCACCGCCACCAGCTTCATCTGAAGAGGGTGTGGCAGTAGATGCGGCTCCGCTGGTGGAAAGGGTATTCATCGGTGTGATTATTTTATTGAAACAGCTTCGTTTTGCTGAATCGCAATTGGTGGTAACAATATTTTTATAAAATTTCTTCTATTTGGCATCTATCTGTAAATGATAAGGTGATTTTATTATAGCTGTTTACGGGAAATCTATAATTACCTCCTTACTGCTGAAAGTTTACTCCAAACGAATTTTATAACATATATCTTAATCTTTCATTTACAGTAAGTTGTTCAACCTTAATATAATGGTGTTGTCTACAGAAATTAATTTTGATTAGAAGATTTTTCCTTGAATAAGACTATATTCATTATTTTAATGTTTTTTGAACGATCATAAATTAACCAAAGACGACGACCAACCCAAAATATTCAGAAAAATTGACACGAACGAAACGTCACACGGAATGTGTATACCGTACAGTGATGCAACTTTATGGAAATTTTACTGATATCAAAGGGATCAAAGTTTGATCATCACACAATATATATGTTGATCTGGGAACACCTTATTAATATATTAAACCAAATCATCGCTCACCACTCGTTCAATTCATTTTTCCTCATAAAATTCACCTCATAGCATTTACTTTTAAAATATTCAAAATGAGGTTGTTAGAAATATTTTATTTTTTGAAGAAGGTTAACAACATTCGTATATGACGTCTCACAAAAACTCAAATAACAGAGTTGCAATAATTCTCCAATCGCGTTCGCAAAATTAGGTAATAGTGATAAACTTTTAAACGGCCAAGTTCCGACACTCTTCAGATAACAGCATTGCAATCATTATATATGTTCATGCAGAAAAGTCATTACGAATTTTTAAGATAAACTTCATAAGCATGCGTATGCAAGACCAGATTTCTTGCATTTAGGTACTTAAAAACTGAAGAACTTTATGAACTCTCTCCCTGTGAGAAAACGAAGAGCTCAAGTTACTTCAAGGGTCACGAGTAATACTAGCGCAACTCTGGTCTGAAAATTGTGGCAGGTTTAACTCTTACTTATCCAGACTCGACCCCGAACTATCTCAAGTACGCCCAGCATTTAAGGAGCATTTAATTAGCTTGTTCCTAGGCGGAGTTGGAGAACCACAACAACATAGTGGGCCTTTGCAAATGTCTTACTGTTGTCATTTGAATGAACTGTAACTATTCCGTTGTTTTTATTATATATAAAATGAATCGCAACTTCCCTGTAACCAAATTTTAACAGAATACGAAAAATTCTCTATGACTTATTAATCCTTGAAAAATTTCATAGTTGCATCCACTGATTATTTCTCTGCTTGTGGCAGCCCTGCTTTGATCAAATGGCAATGCTGCTGTAAAATTTATTTCACAAACACGTGTGTTTTGCAGAAGCGTGGTTCACTAGTTTTCGTGTCGTGCTATTGATTAGTAAGGGTTTTTTAATATTAGGAAATACAAAATTAATAAAAAAGAAATGAAGCAAAAGAAGGGAGATATTAGCATAAAATCACCGCTAAACGGTGTAAAGAAGCAAAAGAATGGGGAATTCAGTACACCTGCGAAGGGAACCCCGGCTAAGACTCCTCAAAAGAAAACGGGCAAAACTCCTGTAAAGGTATTACCTCCAAAGAAAGTTGAGGAGGAAGAGGAAGATGACTCTGAAGAGGAAGAAGACTCTGGTGCAGACGTCGCAGCAGGCCTGGGTAATGAAGAGGAAGATTCGGACGAAGAAGAACAGGAAGAAGGGGACTCCGATGAAGAAGAAGATGATGAAAACTCAGATTTATTGGATAACGAAGCTGAAGATGATGATGATGATGAAGACGATGACGATGACGATGACGACGATCAAGATGAAGATGAGGAGGACGAAGAACCAGTGGAAGCACCCATTGAAAAAAATGCGCCTGTTACTCCAGCCAAGACTACTAAGGCTAAAAAGGCAAAGGTTGAAGACGATACTGGTGTACCAAAAATTAAAACGGGTGCACTTCCTAAAACTTTTCCAAAAGATCAAGTACTTGTGGTGAAAAACCTTCCTAAGGGTAAGAAATTTTGTTTTACGCAAATGAAAAGTTTGTATTTCAACATAATTTTTTTTCTAGCATACAAACAAATTGATCTCGTTGAAGTTTTTGCAAAGTTCGGAACTTTACATACCATTCACAGCAATCATGGGCCTGTCAGTAGCATTGCATACATTGCATATACATCGCCTGAAGAAGCGGAAGCTGCGCAAGAAGCAACCAACAATAAGGCTAAAGTAAAAGGTGCGGTCTTAAAAGTGAAAATTCAAGTACCAAATCCAAAAAAACTAAAGAAGGCTGAAAACAAACAAAAATCTTCCGAAGATAAAAAACTTAGTGTGTTTATTAAGAATTTGAAGAAAGATACTACCGAAGATCAAGTCAAGGAACATTTTAGCAGTTGCGGTGAAATCGAAAGTGCTAAATTATATCCACGTGTGACATACTGTAATGGCTATGTAAACTTCAAAGAGGAATCTGCGGTAAATGCAGCTCTTAATTTACATAATTCAATTCTTAACGGAGTGAACATTTGGGTACTTAGACCTGCTAAGCATACGGAAGAAACAAAAGATCCGCAACGCACAGTTCTTATTAAAAATAATCAGGACTTATGTAAGTACATATATGCGAAAGGTTGACAAAAATGGTGTTATTTATTTAGTTTTTTTATTTAGCATGCTTAGAACCGTCGAAATTGGAGTCAATCTTTTCAAAATGTGGAGAAATAGAAAGCTATTCTATATTGTGCAAGAAAAACGTTTTGGCATTTGTGACTTTCAAGGACCCAAAAGGAGCTAGGAACGCCTTAAAATTGAATGGTACAACAGTGGGAGGTTTTGATTTAGAACTTGAAGAATACAAAACGATTACCCCCAAAATTAAAACATCAGTCTATGTGCAGAATGTAAAGCCTGGTAAGTAAAACGCAAATTATTTACAAAATCGCTAAAAAATATTTTGTCAGCTTTAGTATGTAAATAAAGCCTTTTAAATTTATGTAGTTAGTAAAAGCTCAACGGAAAAATAAAAAATCATTTCAGGTGTAACTGAGGAAGAAATTCGCGAACTATTCGCCGCAACCGGGCCTATTGAGAAAGTAACTGTTTGTACCAACTTTGCATTTGTTCAATTCGCGGATGTTGACAGTTTTTGCAAAGCTTTCCTCCTAAACGAGTCATTTTTACGTGGGCAGATGATCTTTTTGGAGCCATATTCGTCAAGAAAACAGGCTATAATCAAAGCCAATCAGAAAAAGCAAGCTTTCAGTAGAAAGAGACCGGCTCAGCACAGCGCAGGTGGATTTGCTAAAAAGGTCAAGTCTAACTAAATTGTTTTAAAAATGGAAATAAAGCATGCTGCTGCATGTATTTTTAATTTCTTTAACATAAAATACACTAGATATAAATGTATTAAATATTCACGTGAAATAAAAATAAAATTTTACGAATTATTCTATAGGTAAGAATGGCATTTTTTTTTAATTTTTGTTGAGGTTATTGAGAGGTCTCATTCTGTAATGAATATAACCATAGACGGGTTAAGTGGTGTTGCGGATGCCAGCTATCCCATCGTCTTTGCATGCAACATTAATGAATGGTGGAGCCACATGAAATATGTCTGTAGCGCTAGATTCTTTGTGGAACAGGTTCAGGAGAATACCAAAAGCTATGGTGCCGGGGTTGAGACTGAACTAAGAATTTAATCGACTGTTGCATCCAGATCTTGAGTGTGCCAGTTATATGCGGGGCTCTCGAAACAACTCGATCTCTTCGTCTGCAATGGGTGGTGGTTTAATTCTGAGAACGTTGTTCACTGGAAGAAGGTGGTAAAAAGTCTCTGTGACTGTCGTTTACCCGTTGTTGTTGTTGTAGCGGTTCGCTAACCCCGGTTAGGCACAGGTTTGATCAGTCTAAGTAGCCGAGGTCATCTAGTGGGAGGTCCAGGAAACGAGCTGTTTCGACGGGGTTGGACCAGAGGGAGAGGGAGGTTAGATGAGTTGTTTTAAGGGGGCAGGTGAAGAGGTGGTTAGTGTCGTGCGGAGACTCTCCACATGCAGGGTATACGTTGGGTATGCTGGGGTCTAGTCTGGATAGGTAGGAGTTTAACCTGCTACAATATCCAGACCTGAGTTGTGTCAGGGTCACGCGGGTCTCTCGAGGCAGCTCGAGCTCGTTGTCTGCTATGGGTGGTGGTATTTCTCCGAGTACGCCATTCACTGGAAGGGAGTCCTTGAAGGTGTTGACTGACTCCTGGTGAACGGCGTTCAGTGCTTATCGGTACGCCGTCCTGTCCAGCGGTTGTTGTACGTGTTACTGGATTGTGTCCTTAAGATCTAGTACTCCCTTTCTGATGTGCCTAGGTGGAGGTTCAGCCTCTATTAGGTGCCTACTGAGGTGCTTCCTGCGGTAGCATCCCAATAGGAACTGCTTGCACAGCGAAGCATCTATGCTACGAGTTAAGGAGCATAATGCTTTGCTGTGATGCTCCGGCGACATCAGGAGGTTTCCTGTCGCGGTCCTAAGGGTGGTGTTTTGGCGTTCAGATCAGTGCAGCATAGCTTACCATCGGTCAATTGCTTTATAAGTTGCTAGCAAAGTTTTTTTTTATTTTTACCCCAGATGCTGCCGGCTAGCCCTTTGAGTATTTTGTTCCAGCTCTGGAGTTTTGCGGCAATTACGGTGCGGAGTGCAAACTATCTAGTGTTACACCCAATATCTTTGGGTTGTTTATAATCGGAATTGTTACGTCATCGAAGAGGATATGTAAAAATTAAACAGTAGCGGGGAGAGGACACCACAATCCGGAGCCCCCTGTTTAATTTTCCTGGGTTTCGATGTTTCACCTCGGAATATTACCGATGATTGTCGACCACTCGGGTAGCCCATGACCCACCTCTGCAACATCGGTAATGAGGATTCCTCAATGACCGTTAGTTTTTGACAGATCCAGTGCTACCAGGACAGTTCGCGGGCAGGGTCGGTTTGTGTCAAGGCCATTGACTATCTGAGTGTTTATGGCGTTTAGTGCTGATGTGGTGCTGTGCACTTTACGGACGCCATGCTGATGTGCGGCTGGACGCAGATGGTGAGGGAAGGTCCGGAGCCCCAAGGCCTCAAGTGTATTCGCTACTGATGAGAGGAGAGTTATCGCCCGATAAGACGCTCCTTTGTTGGCTGATTTCCCCGGCTTGAGTAGTGGAACAACCCTTCCCGTTTTCCACACGCCAGGTACCATTAGGGTAAAATACAAGTTAAAGACCTTGGTGAGAAAGTCTGCACCCTTTGGTCCAAGATGTTTTAGCATCAGCATGCTTATTCCGTCGAGACCGGGGGATTTGGAGGTTTTCGCCTTCCCGATGACCCCTCTCAACCTCATCCCTGGAGAAATCAAGCGCCACGCTGGTTTTTGGCAGTTTGCGCATACGGCGGGTTACAAATCGCTTCGTTTTGTCTACCGGAGCATGCAGTGTAAAAAGTCGGCTTAAATAGCTCGCGCTTCTCTACGGATCCACTCGGTCGTTGTGTCTCACCGGATTAGACAACGACTTGACTGTAGCCCCAGAAAAGACTTTGCAGGTCCTTAAGTGCTCCTTTCACTTTAGATGTTAAAGCCGCATCTTCTGTCGGAAAATTATGGCGGATTTCAGCAATTCGGCCTACCTGGTTGAAGCGGGCGGCAGCGGTAACGATGACTCTGCGGCAGAAACGTTCACCAGAAGTGACGTCTGATGAAGTGGGGAGAGCAGAGAAGACGCTAAAGCTTTTTTCAAGTTGACAAATGTCCGGTGATCCGCGGAAACAAAGTCGGGAGGCCTGTCATTCGAGATTTGTATGGGTAAATGGTCCTATGCTAGTGTCAGTACAGGTCGCCATACTATACTGCTTATCAGACCAGCATTCGCTATTCTTATGACCGGTGAGCTTTGGCAATTACCCATAACTCTGATGGGGGTGTTGTCGTTCATTGTGCAGAATGTCGAATTCTCTATCTGTTCTGCCAGCTCCATTCCTGTACGGTCGTTTGACAAGCTAGAAAGTCAAAGATCGTGACGCGCGTTAAAGTCGCCCTAAATCAAACGATTTTCGCCCCTGAGTAGTGCACCTATATCGGTGCTATATCCAACCGGGCAACTTATAACAGGAGGAATGTATATATTAAATATCTCGAGCTCGGCATCGCCTGACCAGATAACTATGCCCTGACATTCTACAGTAGTGTCCCTGCGGTCGATGTTGCCGTCGATAAGACGATACTGCACGGTGTTGTGTGGTATGAACGATAAGCCTCCACTATAGTCTCCCTCGCGATCATAGCGGATTATTATGTATTCGACCAGGCATAGAAGATCTGAGCGGGCGGTCGACTTAGTTTCCTGGATCGTTGCAATTAAATTGTAGGAGTCGAGTGTGTCTCGGGGGAACGTTCGAGATGCCGGGGGTGAGGGAGTGGTGCGTGGATGGAGTGTGTTGCTACTTAGCTAAACAAAAGCTAACCTATGTATCGAATTTCAAGTAAATCGAAGTACAAATTTTTGGAATATATCAGACCTCGGAGAAGTATCGTGTCTAACACTGTGATACAAAAAATGTACATCAGAGATTATTTTTGATAGAAATACAACAATGAATAATATTGTAATTAGGAACAGTTTGAAATATTTCGGACTAGTATTAGTACTAATCACAAAATTCTTGTACTAGACTAGTAATATTTCTGATGAGTATGGAATTTCTCGGCACCGTATTTATGTATGCATAAATAAATTCAGAAAGGTATGTATGTACAGCCATGGTCACGCAAATAGCACAAAGTGTATCATACGAGAAAATGTAACTCTTCTGAGGAAAAAAACGGAATTTTTCTGAATGAAAAAATTTATAATAATTACATATGTTATCTAGTTTACAGTGCGTTTCGTACATTACCGATATCTTAGCAACTGTATTTTTTTCGACGACTCATCTGATCGAGCTATTAGTTTGTAGTGGACACGCAAATAGCACAGTCATCGGTTGGGTCTTGAGAGTATCTTTTTATTAATTTTTAGTGGAATTTAAATACATTTAAAGTTCAGTTCTATAAAAATTTACGCAGATTGAACTAAAATAGGATGCGGTAAACACTGTACTTCTTAAAAAAAAAACATTTTTTATAACATGGCTAAGACAGGGAAAAATGTTTTAGAAACTGTAGTTTTCTTGTATTATTCCCGTAACATAGTACATAATGTCTTTAAATTGGTTTAAGAGAGTGAAGATTATCTATCCCAAAACAAATCCAAAGCACCTGCTCCGCGCAAGACAGCGATTTTCGAAGACGGAGCCAAAATACGAAAAAAGAAGCTAGATCCTTTAAAATTTTCTATGCTGAAAACAAACGAAGAATTCGATTTGACTATATCAATAAGCCATGTCGGAAGGCGTTTGAATAACCACAAAAAACCACTCCAGTCAAAAACGCATAGAGAAAAACGGTTAAAGTTTGCTTAGACGCCTGAGAACCAGGCGATTAGATTTTGGAAAAATGTGTTATGGATCGATGAAACTAAAACAAATAGAATGAAGCCAGATGGGAAAACCACATTTCATCGTTACAGAGGTCAAGATTTGAATCCTAGGTACACCAAAAACACCATAAAACATGCAGGCGGTAATATCATGATTTTGGGGTCATTTTCCTGGCATGGCGTAGGACCAATTGTGCGAATAAATGAAAAATTGACGAAAATCAATTTCTGGACATCTTAAAGAATTGAATGGAACCATTCGTATTTGACTCCATGCCACCAAATTGGAATTTTATGCAGGATAATGATCCTAAGCATACCGCGAAAGTCACATAAGATTGGCTTAAGAAGGAAAATATTCGTGTTTTGGATTAGCCTGCGCAAAGCCCAGACCTAAACCCAAAAGAAAATTTATGGAACGATGTTGAAACAAAAATATCTGCAAAAAATTGGATGATTTGTGGGAAGGCGTCAGGAAGAGTGATACTCCATACCAAAAGATAAATATGAAAAACTTGTCGAGAGCAAGGGACGCAGATGTGAAGCTGTTATTAAAAATCGTGGATATACTACAAAATACTAATAGATAAGACCTACTTAAGACTAATAATGTTATATGATCTGGCATATTTGAAATTATAATTTATTTGCGTGACCAGAAAATTTCATTACGAACCTCAAACTTTGGTCTATTTTAAATTTTCATTGAATTAGTTTTAAGTTTTTTTATAAAGGTTGTGTTAAATAATAACTGAATGAACATATCGTTACAATATTTTCATATTTTAAGCACAGATATCCCTTTGTTTCATTATCATGTATCGGAAGGAGAGTTGAGGTATTTGCATGACCATGGCTGTATATGTGATTTCTTGCGTGATTCATTCGACGCTGCAGTAAAGTGGTTCATTTCTCGATGTATTTTGCACATTCAAACACAAAAGTCGCGTGATTCATTATTTCGATTCTCTTGGTTTTGTATCTTTCTAGTTGTTCCGCCAAATTATTTCTTCTTTCGCTCTCCATGGCCTCGTACGTATTGCCGTACACAATGTTCCATTCATTTATTTGAATTTTTACATACATATGTATATACATACATATATAAATATATACACATATATATTTCGACCACTTTACCAGCAAAATACAATCACTTTTTGCATTGTTTTATATTTTTTTTATTATACCGTGTTGGCAGTAATGAGAAGCAGTGCCCCACGCCCAAATATTTGTAAAAGTTTTCTCTCGGCTAACACCGGTGCAAAGCAAAATCACCTTTCACATCACACAATGTGGCTTAGCGCAATGTACATAGTAGTGGCATATCCTAAGATGGTTTATTAAGAAGCAAATTTTAGTAAAATACTTATTGAATGTGGCAGATTTAAACTCTAATCAATTGTATACAATCTGCTGCTGTTTTGCATTTCTTCTCTATTGGCGTAGACGCCGCTTACGCGATTGGAAATACCAAGTGAGACCAGGTCGCTCTCCACCTGACACTTCTAACGGAGTGAAGATTTTCCTCCGCTTCCACCAGCGGGTACTGCATCAAATACTTTCAAAGCCGGAGTGCTTTCTTGCATACGGACGACAACACTTAGTCAGCGTAGCCGCTTTTCATTCACTGAACTATGTCTATGTCACCATATAACTCGTACAAATCATTGATCCATCGCCTGTGGTATAACCATAAATCGAGTTCAAAACTTTTCTCTTAAAGACTCCCAGAGTCGTCGACACCGTTCACGCTTCTATCCCATATAGTAGGTATCCCGTCCGATGATGGAGTTGGGTTTTCGTGCGTCGAGAGAGGACTTTACTTTTCAATTGTCTACTTAGTCCCAAGTAACACCTGTTGGTAAGAGTGACTCAGCGTTGGATTTCAAGGCTGACATTATTATTGGTGTTAATGAAGGTCAGGGTTCGAGTCCCGGTCCGAATAACATCTAAAAATTATAGAAATTTAATTTCAATAAAAAATCAAGTTAAATTTTTTAGTTGCGGTCGCCCCTTGGCAGAGAATGTCAAACCCTCCGAATGTATTTTCGACATGAAATTAAAGAAGCTTCTCATAAAAATTCATCAGCTGGTCGGAGGCGAGTTAGTATAAACTGCAGGTTCCTCCATTTGTTGGAAAATATCAAGAAGCACACCACAATTGGAGGAGGAGCTCGTCTGAAAATCGCTTCAGCGCCAATAATATATAATGCTGGTCCCTAAATAGATGTTTTGACTGTCAACAGTGACGTAGAAGCCGAGTCGCGAATGCGATGACTGTTTTATTTCGTTTTGTCCTCGTGCACTACCAGACCCATCCGATTCACTTTTTTGTTAAATTTGGAGAAAGCACACACAATTAACGGCGCGGTTGTTAAGGCTTCCGATTAAAGATTGTACCTCGTCTATTTAGTTCTGCACATCTTTTTATTTTCTCCAACAGTAAATTGACGAAATCACACAATAACTTCATTTGGCACTGAACGGCTCGGAGAGATCATTCCCAATACTGCGCCTCTGGTTTTGTTCAATATTATTTTACACAAAAGCATGTGTTTTGCAGGAATACCAAATTCAGATGTTGCTGTCGAGGGCAGATTTAAAATCGATCAAAAGGTGATGGGTAATCGATTCTCTTCTCAGGGGCCTTTTTCAAGACCTGATCTAAGCTACATTAACAATGTCTAATCGGTTTGTTGAGAGTGGATTTTAGTCTTTCACACAATATGCTCGACAGGACCTTACATGCGATATTTAAGAGGCAGATTATGCGGTATTTGTCGCAGATTGTGGGGTCCACTTTTTAATGGATTAGGCAGAGCTCACTTGAGTTCCAATACACCTTGTCAAAAGACCCATTGATACATACTCAAGCGTTAAAAATTTTGTCGAGCAATTCATTTTGGAGAATTTCCCACTAAAAAAAAACCAAGCGTAGATAAACCGTGATCGCATAACCAAAACTTAATTCAATTACATATATGTATATGTATATGGTTGATGACTGAATTACAATTTTAAAATATTTCTACATTTCAAACTTACCGTTATATGAGTGTGCTATGTATGGTCTAGCCTCTAAAATAAATGTATAGCTTTAAATTTTTAACATTTATTGAATTATCAATTTTGCACGCATTTAGCTTAGGGTTGCCGCGTCTATTAATATTAATATGTATTTATTTGTAATCAAGTCTACATTGTACCTCTATGGATATTTTTTCGGATCGCTGATTTTAATCAACCCTACATACAAATTCGCGGGGCTCTTGCCTTAATTATCATAGTTATTTCCAGTTTCCACTGTTACAAAACTAAATTTATGTTTTTATTAGTAACATTATTAATATTCGGAAACGGTTTATTGTATTTGCGTGTAACTATTTTTGTAAAAAATGTAAGTATGTATATGTAAAAATTGAAGTTTTCCAAATATTATATATGTATACTTGTATGTATGTATGTATGTAGGTATGTTTCATTTGTCCCCCTTTGAAATGTACTATTTGCAATTTATGATTTTGCATCAATAATTGGTAATAATTTATAATATAATATCCGACTTTTGGGATAGATATTCAATTTTTATTTCATGCTGTTTATTTGGAGAATTTCCCACTATTTTTTGGGCATTGTATTTTTTTTATTAATATGTAATTAAAGTTGCACTCTTTTTTTTTTTTGTTTGCTACGATTATATACGGATAATTGTGTATAATTGCATAATATATACTAGTTTATATGTGTATGTAAAGTTTTAAATATTTATGTAAATGTAAAAATTCAATTTTATTGTAAATTCTAATTATAAAAGACGTAAAATACCGTTCTACAAAATTTCATACTTGTAATATATTCTTAATAAATTTAATAGAAATTTTTCGCTTTCAACAATATATTATAAGAAGCCATTAGACTGATCCAGCAATTTCATTACGTAATTCGAGTAGATTCACCAGGTGCGACAGTGAAATTTTTCAAATTCCATAGCATTATAAAAAGGTTTTCAACGTTTCGCTAAGCGCTTGCTGGCAGTGTTTCGCAGGAAACGCAGTGCTGTGCTGAAAGTGTGCACATAAAACGCAGGAAGGTGAAAGCGAAAGAAGAAAATGTATTGCATTATTTTACTCCTTAATTTTATAAATGCCATGGTCAGTCAACTGGGTGACTATAGTTACCAATAGTAATCGTAAGGGTTAAAAATCAGCTGTTGGACTCATATATATGTATGTATGTGCATATATAAGAGCTAAAACAATATTCAGTTAAGAAATTAACATCCAATTAAAAAATATGTACATACATATTTACGTACATATGTATGTAAAATATTTGTTTTAGTTTTTGACATGAATTTCAATCAATTTTGGTTCCATTAATTTAACTTAATTAAAAGAAAATATCAATATCAGTTATTACAGATTTTTCACTTAAAACGTCTTACAATTTTTGGCTCAGGCGAAAAGGATGCACAAAAAGATCTACTTTTTTGAAATCAAATTTTTCAAAGCAACGCGCCAAAAATGTCAAAGCCATATTTTTGTCTATGTGTAAATGAAATAGTTCTTTTCTTAAATTTTTTTTTTTTACTTTTGACTATCGCTAGAACAAATATTGGCAATTAAATGTACATTTTAGTTCGTTCCTGGAAGCAATCTAGCTAATCATTTAAGAATTCACGAGCAATGGAAGCTAACATAGGCATGTTTTTGTTGCAGTCAGTCTCTTTGGATTTAAAGAAATTTCAATTAATATTTTATTTCGTTAACTATAAGGCAAATTAGATGCAAAGGGCACTACTATTAAAGCAAGCGAAACTACAGAATAACATACAAAAATTCATTTATAAGGTGCTATTAAGGCGTAATATATATAATGTATTTTTACTTTTTTTTTATTGTGCATAAATCGCTTGATAATTTTATGCGATACGTTAACATGCATACATACATATGTAGGTGAGTAAGGTGCAGGCAATGTGATAAATTCGAGACGTCGTTTAAATTCTAAATACTACAATGCAATTATTTAATTAAAATCATATTTACGACTAGATTAATAGCTGTCACTATGCAATAAATTCATTAAAATTTTAAATAAAAAATAAAAATAGTAAATAAAATAGTAAATAAACACGTATGTATACAAATAAATAAAATAAAACGCGAAAATTGATTTTATTCTTTTTTTGTAGTTTTTTAATTTAGTTTTTTTTTTCGTACAAGTATATCGTAAAAATTATCGTAGTTGAGAATATTGTTATAATATATATATGTATACGTATGTATTGACAGACTTTTAAACTGAGAATTTCAATTTTTCATTTTAAACAAAAACAATTAAACAAAATAATACAAAGGAAACATTATCAAAAGTAAAAAACAATAGGAATTTTAAAAGAATATTTTAAGAGTAATAATAATAATACACTGGGTATGAGCATAGGTAGGCCACACTTTGTTTCATAAATAATAATAATATTTCTTTTTTTTTAACTTTAAGTATACTGTGTCGTTTTCTTGCGTCATACGTAACCCACATATTGTATACAGGAACAGAATAATGAAGTACAAAAATATATCAAAAATGCATCGATCGTATTATAATATATGATTAGTAATAAAAATTTTTTCGCATGCCATCTAGTATTAAATAGGTTTTCACGTACATGTCTAAAAGATATTTCCACTTCATATGTATTTGCTTGTTCGTATGCCGCTTTCATGCATAAACTTATTATATTATTATTTTTTTTTTACAATGCTGATTTGCATTTAGTTTTTCTTTATAAAGTTTTTTAATTTTTTTTTTATTTCACGGTAAATCCTTAATTGGCCAAATGTATTGGCTTACATGTGTATGTGATAAAAATATATTTTTTTGTTTCGTTAGCTTTTTTCATAAATTTTATGATTTTTTATTTCGTTTTTTCGTCTTTCCCAAACATTTACCACCACAAAATCAAATAATATAATGACGTGTATTTTTTTTTATAAAGATTGAAGAAAAAACACAAGACGAGCATTTCAATAGCAATCCATATTATATTAGACGCTCTAAAAGAAACTACAGCAAAAAAAAAAGATATTTAGGCTTTAAATGACGAAACAATAACAAAAAAAAAAAAACGATAAACATAACACCATAATTACATATCGATCTTTTGTCCGAGTTTTAAAATAGCAAAATGTAGTTTAAACATCGATTATCAAATTTGAAAACATAAAAAATGTACGAAACGTCACAAAGCTAAACATGTCTTCCGTTTTTCTTTTTTGAAACTGTGCAGAAAATGCTCACACAAATCGCATCAGTAGTTTCATATACAAATATAGTGCATCGTACATTGACGAAAATAAATGACAACTATGTATGAATATGATATATGTATTTAAGTTGGTATTAACATATTTTTGCTGAAAATATGATCAATTTAGTTTTTTTTTTTGTATATTTGTTTGCATATATGTATGTGAATCGTCATTTTTATTACATTTATATTTCACGCTGCTGTTTCCCGCCGGGATCATTTGAATTATGCAATCTTGTGTTATTCGCCTATGAACGTATTACACTACTATCTGTTATTGAATCTCATATTTCTTATCAAAGTTCGTTCGAGTAAATATTGTTTCCCACTTCCAAACGACTTTTCTGTTATTTCACTTATTTTGCTTTTAAATAATTAGCAAACTGCGTTACAATAATGTTATTACAATTATGCGCAGCTGCTTAACCCCAATACTTAGTAGTTTCTTCCTAGCACCTCGTGCTCTGCATGTAGTCGCTTCAAGTTTGATTCAGTCACAAAAAAAAAAAAACAATTATCATTTTATTATGAGGATCCCTTTTTTGATATCTAATATTTCTTCATTTTGCTTACTGTATTTCAAAAAAACATTCGAGGTCTTATTTTCCTTTGCTTCTTAAGCGTCGAGAAGAGTTGCCTGTATTTGTTCCGTCAAGGGACCCTCTCCATTCTCTAGATCTAATTGTCGCGTGCCATTTTCAATAACCTGTTGGTCTCCACCGCCACCTCCACCGTTCAATTGCAGTTTCTGATTTTCTAAGGAAACCGCTGCATCAGTTTCTCCCACTTTAGATATGCCATTCGTCTTCAGCTCTTCTTCGACTACTTTCGGTTTGGATTCGTTTGACGATTTCGATGGAGTTCCTGTTTTTTTGGTCACATCTCTGGGTTTCGCCTTTAGAGCCACATTTGTTGTTTTAGTAGGCGACAATGAGAGCTTGCCTGTGGTTGCGGGTCTGGTAGAACCTGGTGATGTTTTCTTTATTAAAGTGCTGCTTGTGGTCTTTGCTCCTGTTGTGCTACTAGATGTGCTGCCAACAGTGCGACGTGTTGTAGTCGATGATAATGTTGATGAATGCGTAGTCTTGGGGGCCGGACGTGCCGTGAAAGTCTTTGTTGTCGTGGTTACAGTAGTTAAGGTGGTAGAAGCCGCGCTCTTAGCGCGACTAGCAGTCGTTGTGGTTGTCGAAGATTTAGAAACACCATTAGTAGTTGGTGCCGTAGTCTTGAGTGGGCTCTTAGCCGCAGCTAATCCTGAGGCAGAGCTTGGTGGTGCCGACTTACGCAGTTGTGAAGTCAACGTGGTTCGAGGAGATGACAATTTCGGTTTATTTGTAGCCGAAAGGCCTAAAGTAGTCGGTTTAGTGGGAGCCCCACTAGCTGTTTTGGGTTTAGCTGTAGATGTGCCATTGGAAGTAGTCGTTGAACCGCCTGTAGTTGCTGTTGTCAAACGACGTGCAGTAGTTGTGGTAACAGCTGTACGAGAGGCTGTCAATCTAGACGAAGCTGGCGCCGTCGTTGGCCTGGTTGTAGTTGCTGTTTTGGTAACTGTTCTAGGAGCTGCAGTATTGGTGGTTAATGGTTTGCGAGTAGTAGTAGAAGTAACAGTAGTCGATGGTTTTGTGCCAACCGTATTGGTTGATGTTTTCTTCTCAGTCGTAGTCGTTGTCTTAGTCGGAGCAGTACGTGGTCTAGCAGATACTGACGAAGCAGACGTTTTGGCTATCGGCTTCTTGGTAGTCTCTGTAGTCTTTTTGGTATCGATACTTTTTGATTTTAGTGAAGTTGAAGTACGCGCCTGTTTATTATCAGTTTTCTTGCCAGAAGCAGCTGCAACTGTTGCAGCAGCTGCCGTGGCAGCAACAGCACCGACAGCACCGGCAACAACGGCAGCAGTAACTGACTCATTCTTATCAGATGGTTTGACTTCATCAACACTTGACTCCAAAACTGTTGTTTCTAAGGGAGTAGGCGCCAACAAGGATTCATCGCCTCCAGCGGACAAATTTGACACTAACTCACCGCTTATTTCCAAATTATTTGAAGGCTTAGTATCAAATACATCCACAACCGGTTCTGTTTGAGAAACAATCTCTGCTTCAAGAACGGATTTAGTTTCTTGTTCTGGCACAGCTTCTACCTCTAACTCTGGCGAAGCTAAAATATCTGCTTGTGGAATAACTGTATTATCCGGTTCTGGAACAGTTTCAATTTTTTGTTCTGATAAAGCTATAATTTCTGATTCGGAAACTGCTGAAACTTGTGCCTCTGGCGATGCGCTGATCTCCTTTTCAATAACAGCTGTAAATCCAGGTTCAACAACTGATGCTTCATTCTGATCTGCATAAGTCGGTACCAGGTTGGGCTCGCCAGATAATGCAATTATATCTGGTTCGGCGGAGTTGATAGCATGATTCGCCACAGATGTCGCAACTAGTATGTTCTCCTCAAATCCATTCAATTCAGAGTTTAGCGAAAACAAATTTTTTTCTTCATTATCATAAGCTGGCTCCGAAGTCTCCCTTTGCGAAGATAGCTGTTGTTCAAATTGTTCGTTGTGGTAGTTTGGTTCGTTTTGCTGCAAAAAGTCAGCATTTGCCTGAGACTCAGCTGAAATTGGCTGATCTTCAAATCGAAATTGTTCATTAGACGCGAGTTGTTCGGATTCCGGAGCGTTAAATGGATTCACATTATCAATGTCCTCTACCTGAAAATACGAATGGAAAAAATTTAATTAATCACTTACATAAAATTATACAATAATGCTTGTAATGATGTATGATATTAAAAAAAAAAAACTGTATAATAATTTTAATTATATAAAAATTAACTATACCGTTTAAAATAAACATTTATTTATTATTTTATGTAGTATTGAAACCTGTTCAAGCAAATTGAAAATTATAAGTCGTTAATTGTCGTTGTACCTTATTAGGCAAACCAAAGCAAATCTTTGTATTCTAAATCAGTAAATACTTTTAAAGAAGTTGTAATTATTAATGCTGCATCATTAGCTACATTTGGAAGCGTCAAATGTACCACCATACTTCCTGAAGATGACCGCTATAGTTTTGTTTCCCATACATTCATGTAAGAGATACTCTTAAGGCATTCGAAAGCAACACACACAAGTATTGTATGGAAGTCGTTTCAGTCCAACAGTCAGTGCCGCCACAGATAATGAAGAACAATTTACACATTTTTGGTAATTATCCACAAAACTAATAAAGCATAGCATCCAAAAATGAATTGAATTACATACACACAGAAATCATTTGCTGAGTAATTCTTTATTTTCTAATAATAGAAAAGATGGTTGCTTTTGAAGGTAATTACTGCATTAAACTTGGCATTAATTCTGTTCACGAGTTGTTACCAATTTTCACTGAAACGCGTACGGTGAGCCAAAGGGCCAGGAAAAGTTGCATCGATATAGCGCAATTTTGACATTCGGTACTGGGTAATTCTTACTGACAACGAATCGAGCTTTAATAATGTATTGAGAAGTTTTTATTTGGTATGGAAAAAGATATGGAATAATTTTTGGAAACAAATATAGCTAGTATTTCAGTGAAAATTAATGCTGGGTAGATATAAAATATCTATTTATCTAAATAAAAAAAATATTTTAAGAATTGCCATCAAATGATATGAATGAAGAGATTTTACAATATGTACTGAATTTTGACCACTTTTGGGACGAAAGGATCGAGGGTATTTGGATTTATGTTTTTTTAACTATTGTGGTATAAAATTATTTTCCTGCATGAGATAGATATTCAGCTTGGTCTCGGTCCAAATACGAATTGCTAGAGAGGAAATGTTAATTTTCCTCGCCAGAATCGATTTTTTTTAATTAAGCTCACGATTTCATACAAACATAAGTTCATTCGGTACTGGCTAATTCTTACTGACATTTCTCACCGAACAGAGCTTTAATCAGTTGTGAAGACACATATGTCTCACACCTTGTCTCTATACTCTGCAACTTCCCGATATATTAGGTGAAGTAAAAAGTTCGTTCGGTTTTTATCCAAGAGATGGCGTTATTGTTCATAGTACTCGTGTTACGTGTCGCATCATGTCATACTATATAGCACTGGAAAAGTGTTTATTCGCGTTAAAAGTTTGTCTTTGACAGTTTTCCGATTGATTGACTCAGTACGTTGTAAGCGCTCGTCAAAGAGGGACACCAGCATAGAGAAAATTCGCCATTTTTTTGCAATTTTTATTCGATCAAGACGAAAAAGCAGCCAAAGCGGCTGAAAAAAATTTAGTTAGTTTATGGGTACGATACTGTAAACGAACGTGTTGCACAAAAGTGGTTTGCTAGGTTCCGTTTCCGATGTTTGGGTGCCACACGAACTAACGCAAATAAACATGATGAACCGAATTTCCATCTGGCGATAAAAAATGGGTCACTTACAACAACATCAAGCTCAAACGGTCACGGTCCAAGCCCGGGAAGCGGCCCAGACGTTGGTCAAGACCGGATTGACAACCATGAAGGTTTTTCTGTGTGTTTGGTAGGATTGGCATGGAATCATCTACTACGATGCTGCGGTAGATAGCCAAACGTTCAAATCGGCCCTCTACTGCCAACAAATGGACCGCTTAAAGGCAGCGCTCATCCAGAAGAGGCCATCTTTGATTAACAGAGGCCGTATTGTTTTACACCAGGACAACGCCAAACCGCACACGTCTTTGGTGACGCGCCAGAAGCTCGGATGGGAGGTCCCAATGCATCCACCTTATAGTCCGGACCTGGGACCAAGTGATTACCATCTTAATGGCGAGAAGTTGGCCTCAAGAGAGGTCTGTGAAAATTGGCTCTGAGTTTTTTTTTGCCAATAAGGACGCAGCCTTCTACGAGAGGGGTATAATGAAGTTGGCATCTCGTGGGCAACAAATTTACGAACAAAGCGTATTTGACTTAAATCGGACCAATATGCACAAAGTTATCATATATTGGAAAAACAAGTAAAAAAAAGAAAACCGAACGAACTTTTTACTTGACCAATATTTTATCTTTATGTCTACTTTGCTCTTGATGTACCTTACATGCCGTAATTCCAGTCGGGATCCGTTGGTTCGATCCCTGTCAAAAGAAGTCTGAAGAGAAGATGTGGTGATCTCCCAAACAGCTGTCATTTAACTAATATAAATCTAATTCATGAGGCGAACAAATGACATTTTATCGGACATCGCCGTGGCTAAATACCAGCCGCTAACATGTAATACGCTGGCAGATGAAATAGCGAATGTAAAAATGCGAACTATGTAGTTAACAAAAAGTAGTCTTTCTCTTATTGAACACTTAAACAAGTACCAAGCAACGCAGAACTAATGAAAAATAGCCGAGAAAAGAAAAAGCGATAATTAAAGCGAATGTGAAGATGAAATAATTATTATTTCCCGAACATAATTTATAAAGCCCAAAATCAACGAAATACATACATATGTCTGTATGTGTAGATATCTATGTATTTCTACATATTTGGGGAAAATCATTTTAAAGCCAAGGAGGTCGACTTTGGACATACACACATACATACATACATACATAAATATGTACATACAAAGTTACATAGTCAGCACCGAAGCAATTTAAATCCAGCTAAACTTAGCCACTCCTCACACTTGGAATTTAATATGAGTGTATGTAAAAGTGTAGCATGCGCGATCTAAAAGGGACAACAAAATGGCAACGCAAACAAAAATACACAAACACATACAAAAGTGACAGCTGAGGAAATAATAACAAGAAAAAAAAAAGAGCTTTGCAACAAAAACCACAAAACGTAAGCGGCAATGACGATGTCGCTGCAAGAACAACTGAGGACAACAAGAAAGAAACGTTGTTTTCGGCCAGACCGAAATCTTTATACCTTTCATGTGTAAGCGGTAAAGCCACTCTCGGCCTTTGAAAAACGCAATTTTCTTTTGTTTTTTTTTTTGCTCACAGGGTACCTTTGGGTCCTAGAAATGATATGCAATTGGTTTTAAAGTAAAAAAAAAAACATTTTGAATAGTTGAACTTTTTATTTTGCTGCAGTCCCTCAGAGCATGCGCATAGTACAATGAAAATTTTAAAACGCGTTTTTCTCAAAATCACATTTTTCAAACTGGGAAGACTAATTATTCGGGCTCTATTGCAACCATTTATTTGAAATTTTGCTGGTAGATTCACAAATATTTTTTGTTTTGGAAGTAAGTAGCCGTTTTTCGATTGAATGTAGACTTTTTTTTTTTAATAATTTAGTGCGTATTTTTTTTTAGTCAAATACCAATCTCTTAAAAAAAAAAATTTGTTACAAAATAAATCCGTATGTACTTCCAAATGCCATAGTTTGTAGATCATAAAACTCTTTGCTTTTCAGCCTCAGGTTTAATCCTCTAAAAGAAATCGCTCCGAACAACGGTTTCAAAAAAAAAAAAAAAAAATGACTTAATCTCCGCCATTTTCTAGCAAAATAATATATAAAAAAAATATCTTTTTATACTTGAATATATATTGAACCAAATGCTTAAATAGAAATTTCTTTTCCTATATTCCGACAATAAATTAAAATCAAAATTCGTACATTTTTCAACCTCTAGAGTGGTTTTACCCCTAACAGTATTTTTTAATTTTTGACTTTAAAGTTATTCACACACTCTACATTACCATTGATTGATAATTTTTCAGACGGAGCAAAACTTCATATCTACATAGATAATGTGTCCTCAGATGTGATTGAAGTTGGATTAGGATAATTTTTACTTTTCCACCAGTAGCCAATCCTTGATGTACGTCCAATATAAAAAAATATCCCAATTTTTATATTTACAGCGACTTTGTTTGTTGCAAGGTTTTTTATAGTCATAATCTATGCAATATATACTGTAAATACATACATATGTTACATTAGAACGATCTAAACGATAATCGACAATACAAAACTACAGCCTGAACCGATCGATTAGTTCGTGCCATACAGAAGTGACTAAATCTAATCAAATCAACTCAAAATCCTGAACAACTGTATATATTTATATTTTGTTGCTTCTATCTCTTCCTCCCAGTACTTACATACTTCGGACAACACGGCTAACACCATTACATGATCATGAAAGGTATAAAAATAGCAACACTTTGGAGTGACAGCAGACTGGAGTGGTATGACGCCTCGTGGAGCTGGTTTTTTGATATTTCAAAAAGTTATTTAAAACAAATGGTGGCATAGGAAAATGTCATTGGCCATACAGAATAGCAGCGCTGCTAGGTAGAGCAAAAGCAAAAGCAACTGTTGCTGACATTCAACGAATATAGCGAAAACGTTAACGCCACTTGCAATAAAATGCCAACTATGTAAATTTGAGTGTACATAACATATAATACTATATATTTATTATACCTGTATACCTAAACATATATAAGTATGTAGCAACATATTTACATAAATATTAGATAAGTTTTTATATACCAACGATTATTATGAAACAGTTTTTTTTTTTCTTTCTAAGGCTGTGAAAAGCTGATGCCCGGCTCTAGAGCAACCAAGTGTAATGAGGTCACATATTAAGCCGTACTAAAATCAGCAAAATATTTATATATACGCATGTACACGTAAACAGATTATTGCGCCAATCCTCTTCGCAAGCTTCGTTGTCGGTTAGTCATTCATCTTGCAGGTACATATATATGTATATATATTGTTATGTACA